CGTGGGCTGGCAGGAGGCTGTGACCCCATCCTCAGTGACATCCCCAACAGAGGGACCAGGGAGTGTTCACTCCGACACCTCCAACTGATCTCGCCCCTCAGGGTCACGGGGGCAGGGGCTCTCGCAAGGCGACTCTCGAGCACACAGGCACCCAGAGGACAAACCCCAAACACAGAAGCACAAGACAGACGGGCGAGTGGGGACCTCCCCTCCCCAACTGGACTCTTCAGTGCTGGGGGTGCTGACGACTTGGCAGGGAGAATGGGGCCCCTAAGGGGAGAGTGGGGATGTGGGGTCAGTCTCCCCTTTTTTTCTGTCTTTTTCTCTCTTTCTCACACAGAAACACACATACCCAGAAGTGTATTTCTAAGCCCCCTTTGCCCTTCCATCCCTCCCTGTCTCATGTATACCCACACAGCTGTTCTCTCTCTCTCTCTCTCCTCCTCCTCCTCCTCCTCCTCCTCCAGTTTCCCTTCCCCACCCCACTTATATGCTCTGGAATCTGTGGAGACGCCAGCCCTGCCCAACCAGAGATGCCAAAAATGGGGACACAACTTCTGGACAGAGGACACGGGCCACGCCCCCTGTGCATCCCCACCCCTGCCCCTCCAGACGGCTTTATTACCTCATACGCAGCTCATCTTAAACCAATAGAATCGCTCGGTGGACGAGAGTGTCTGACTCAGATATCTACCTCGGAGGGAGTTTCTGCTACTTTAGGGAATTGTCGGCTAGGCTTTGGGGTTGAACTTTTTTTTTTTTTTTTTTTTTAAGGAAAGAAAAAGAAACCCTGGGATCCATTTGGTTTTTCTTGTTGTTTGTTGCTTTTTGTTTATTTGGTTTTATTGTTGATTCTTATATATATATATATATATATGGGTTTTTTTTCTTTCCTTACTTCTTACTTTCCCATTTTAGGGGTGACAGCCAAAGGGGTCCTGGTGAGAGGGGGTTTAAATGGAACTGGTGAAGTGGCACATGGCTCCGGCCTGTCCACTGTGGGTGACTCTGTGGGGCGCACACCAGGCCCCCCACGATCACGGTGTTCACCCCGTGCAGGCAGGTTCCGCCGCGCTCAGTGTGGACAGAGCGAGGAGCCTGTCCGCTGGCCTCCTGGTCCTCCTCAACTCTCGGGCAGGGCTGGACTGGGTCATTGCGAGGAAACTGAAGATACCACCTTCCCCGTGTAATGGGTCTTTAAAACTTTTTTTTTTTTTTACTATTCAGGTTGGAGAGGAAAGAATGGGGAAGGGGTTATTGCCAAATATGTTAAATATGGGTTGGGGTGCTTCTCTATGTATCTCCCTCGGTTGCCCTGGAAATGAGGTATCTCTTTCTCACACCAAAATCAAGGGGTGATGAGAGAGAGGGAGGTTGCAGAAAGCCAGGTATGGGGGAGAGTAAAATCGACACTGGCCCATCCTCCGGCCCTACACCCCACCACCTGACCCCTCACATCCTCAGGATTGGACCAGACTGTCAAGAGAGGGGGACCCCCCATCAAAGCCCCGGGCAGGATTTGGGGACAGGTTGGGAGTGTGATGGGTGGGCGTGGGAGGCCTGGGCCGGGGCAGTTCTCTCCTCACTTGTAAACTTGTAGTTTCACAGAAAAAAAAAAAAAAAGACACTTTTAAATAAAGAAATTTCTTTTTTCCCTGGGTTTAGTTGAGAATTTTTTTCAAAAACCATGAAAAACACCAGGAAAAAAAAAAAAAAGTTTCCTCTTCCAGAGTCCCCAAACAGGTTTGTGCCCTGTCCCGAGCCTTCCCCCTCACTACCCAGACCCACCAACAGTGGCCGGCCTGGGGTTGAGGCCTAGCAATTACACCAGCCCAGCCATGGGGGCTCCAGTGCGCTGCCAGCTGAGAGATGGAGTGCTCTGAGCGGGTGGACCCTAGGAAGCGCACCCCACACCCCCAGAGAAGTGGCCGTGCCCAGGGGTGGGGTGAAGACTGCTACTCCCAGCACCTGAAGGACTCTTGGGGAGGCATGAATTCCTAGCATTCCCTGCCACTGGCCAGGACAGGGAGACGGGGGCAGGGGAGAGGGCGCAAGCACCCCCTAGGGAGGTGGCCACAGCAGGAAGAGGGGCAGACAGAGCCTGGAGCCTGGGAAGGAGGCAGGATGGCCGCAGGGGCAGCAGCCAGAGACTGGGTGCTGGTCTTCAGCCTGTGGGGTGAGCCCTCCCCTCCCGGAACCTCCCTGCAGAGAGCACTGCCCCAGCCCCGATCTCCCCAGGACTGGTGCCCGGGTGTGTTTCCCAAGCTCCTGGCCCACCCTGTCGTGATTTCATTAGCCCCCGTCTCCTGCCTGCCCCTCCACCATGGTGCTGTCTCCCAGGGGCGGTGGTGGGCGCACAGAACATTACAGCCCGGATCGGGGAGCCACTGGTGCTGAACTGTAAGGGGGCCCCCAAGAAACCACCTCAGCAGCTGGAGTGGAAACTGGTAAGCAGGGGTCCTGGTGCAGTCCTCCAGCTTCCAGAGAGATCCGCGAAGTCGCACCCCGGCTGCCACCCTCGCCAGCCTTCACCAAAACTGCACTGAGGCTGCCTCCTCTGTCTGCAGAACACAGGCCGCACGGAGGCGTGGAAGGTCCTGTCCCCCCAGGGAGGCCCCTGGGACAGCGTGGCCCGTGTCCTCCCCAACGGCTCCCTCCTGCTCCCAGCTGTTGGGGTCCAGGACGAGGGGACTTTCCGGTGCCGGGCAACCAGCAGGAGCGGAAAGGAGGCCAAGTCCAACTACAGAGTGCGCGTCTACCGTAAGGGCTCCGGGGACTTCCACGGGGCCACCTTCATCAAAGGGAAAGGCTCCAGCCCCAGCCGGGCTCCCTGGTCCCCCGGTGGGAGGCCCTCTGACTCCCCCATTTCCACTCCTCAAAGCTGCTGCCTCTGATCACATCTTTCCCCCCTTCAGAGATTCCTGGGAAACCAGAAATTGTAGACCCTGCCTCGGAACTGAAGGCCGGTGTCCCCAGTAAGGTATGGACGGCAGTGGGGGAGCAGAAACCGGTCCCGTGAGCGGGAGGACTGTGGCTGTGTGTGTACATACCCCATGTCTCGTCTTCAAAGAACGATGAGGTCACCGCTCTCTCCAGGTGGGGACATGTGTGTCAGAGGGGGGCTACCCTGCAGGGACTCTGAGCTGGCACTTGGATGGGAAACCCCTGATACCTGACGGGAAGGGTAAGTCCCCAGGTGCCCCTGCCAGGTGCCTTCGTCCTCCCACACCCACCCCGGATGTCTTACCCGGTCCTCCCCGCACCACAGGCGTGTCTGTGAAGGAGCAGACCAGGAGACACCCCGAGACGGGGCTCTTCACGCTGCAGTCAGAGCTGGTGGTGACCCCAGCGCAGGGAGGAGCTCCACACCCTACCTTCTCCTGCAGCTTCAGCCCAGGACTCCCCCGCCGCCGGGCCTTGCATGCACCCCCAATCAAGCCCAGAGTCTGGGGTGAGTAGGGGCAGGAAGGGCCCTAAGCTTGGATGAGCACATGTTGAAGGAAGTAGGGCCTCAGGGGGAGAAGGGTCAAGCCCACACCCACGGGGGGGCTGGCACAGGCCTGACTCCCCCTCACGTCCCTCGGACCCCAGACCCTGTGCCTCTGGGGGAGGTCCGACTGGTGGTAGAGCCGGAAGGTGGAGCAGTAGCTCCAGGCGGGACTGTGACCCTGACCTGCGAAAGCCCTGCCCAGCCGCCGCCTCAGATCCACTGGATGAAGGATGTGAGTGACCTGGGGGGCTGGAAGGAGGGGAGAGGCCGGCAAGGAGCTGAGGGTGGGGAGACAGAGACAGCAGTGTGGGATGTCTGGGCGGGGCTTTCGTAATGGTCTCCTGGTCCCCTTTCCCACCTAGGGCGTGGCCCTGCCCCTCCCCCCCAGCCCTGTGCTGCTCCTCCCGGAGGTGGGGCCTCAGGACCAGGGGGCCTACAGCTGTGTGGTGGCCCACCCCAGCCACGGGCCTCAGGAGAGCCCTGTTGTCAGCATCAGCGTCATCGGTGAGACCGCTCTCCAAACCCTGGGGACGCGGGCTGGGGTGGGGGACAGTGCAGGCTCCCGTTCTGTCCTGTGCTGGCATTACCTCCCAAAGTCACCCCTCCTTCCCACCCTGGCCTTCCTCTGTCCCACCCGGACTCTGCCCAGACAGCAGCCCAGCCTCTCCCCTCTAAGAAAGACTCCACTGGACTCCCCCACAGAGCCCCGTCCCAGACAAAGTCTTCCCTCTGACTTGCCTCTGGTTTTGTCTTCTAGAAACAGGCGAAGAAGGGCTGACCGCAGGTGAGGGTCAGATAGAGTCAGAGTGAAGCAGACAGTCCCCAACTCACGGGACCGGGGGATAGTCAACCAGAAAGAATGGTGAGTGGGGGCGTTGGGCCCTCAGTGTCCCCTGTCTCCGTGCAGGCTCCGCGGGAGGGTCAGGGCTGGGAACTCTGGCCCTGGCCCTGGGGATCCTGGGAGGCCTGGGGACAGCTGCTCTGCTCTTCGGGGTTGTCATGTGGCAGAGGCGGCGGCGCCAAGGAGTGGAGCGGTGAGTGGACAAAGAGACACCTCAGGTGTGAGCCTCTCAGGCAGCAAGTGAGGGGTGTGGGGTGGCAGGACAGGGTGCTAGGAACCATGTCCCCAATGCTCCTCAGCAGGAAGGTCCCAGAAAACCAGGAGGAGGAGGAGGAGGAGCGCGCAGAGTTGAATCAGTCGGAGGAGCCGGAGGCGGCCGAGCACAATGCAGGAGGGCCTTGAGGGGCCCACAGACAGACCCCACCCACCAGCCCCCTTTGTTTTCCCTGGCCCCAGACCAGCTCTCCCCTCTACGATCCCTGGCCCCCCTTGCCAAACTTTCTTCCACCACCAGACACCCCCCAAACAGTGATGAGTAAACACCCGACACACCTTGCCCACATGCGTCTGTGTGTGCGTGTGTGTGCGCTGTGTGCGTGTGTGTGCGCGTGTGAGGCAACCTCACCCCTGCACTCTTTTTTTCCTTTGGAGAGATTTTTGCTATAGGGCACGTGCGCTCACGAGACAGACAGAGAGAGACAGAGAAAGCGAGAAATCACCCCCCAGAGGGGATGGCCACGCCGCAATCCCATCTCCTCCGTTCTCCTCTCAGGATCTTGGGCACGCACGCACACGCACCCAGCATACGTCTAAGCCACCAGGTCTGGGACTTGAACCGCGGTCGACTACGTGGGAGTCCAGCGACATAGCCATTATGCTAACTGCTGGTCCCACCCCTGCACTCTGAGAATTCTAAAGGAGAGAAGTGCACCCCAATGTGTCCCCAGACCACACCTAACATCCATTCATTCGGGGAGAAGATGCTCCTGTCCTAGACAGACGGAAAGGGAGAGCTCAGGAAGAGTTCCCATCAATAGATTTCATTGTTTATTGAATTTGTAATAAAGGAGGTGGGGGGGCACTTAAGAGTGACAACCCACATTAGACCTTTGGGGGATAAAATTAAATTAAGTCAAGAGGGAGAGCTGGGAGTTAGAGCCTTGCCCACCTTTCAACCTCAACTCAAGAAACCTGGGTGAAAGCAAAGGATTACGAGGAAGGAGAAACAGACATTCGGTGCAGCCTGTCGTCTCGTGCCACCGCCGGGGGCTCCGGGCTGCCGAGCGAGCAGCTCTGAGCAGAAGGCTCTCCCATCCGTGCAGATGTCCCTCCTCTCCACACCCTCCTTGACAGGGGCCAGGCTGGCCTTGGCCCACAGAAGTGGAGGAGTCAGGGAGGCCCAGGAGTACGGAAGGGTCAGCAGGGACCCCAATACTGATTCTCCCCTGGTTGGAGGTGGGCAGGGAAGGAGACCAGCTCAAATACTGAGCAGCCAAAAAAAGAAGAAAATGGCGAGAAACAGGAAGAGGGAATCCTGCCAACTGGAGGTCGGGTGACCCTGTCCCAGATCCACACCTGTGGGAGAGAGGAGAGCTGAGGAAGCCTGGACTCCCAGGCCAGGAGGAGGAGCTGCCTGGCAGAGGAGCAGGGGAGACCCTTACCTGTGGCCCTGCGGAAGGGCTCGTGGGTATTGAAGACGGTGGTGAAAAAGCCAAAGGGAAAAGCACCAACACCAAACGAGAAGTGAAAGCCCCCGGTGTCACCAAACGGCTGGAATCCCTGGGGAGGGAGAAAACGTCAGAGAGGAACGAGGCGAATCTCTGGCAAGGGAGGGACACAACTGGACAAGACTCACCCCTCTGCTCTCTGGAGCCGGGCGCTGGCCCTGGGGGCGGGGTGGGGTCTTCAATCTGGGGAAGAGAAGAGAGACAGGGAACTTTCTCCTCTCCTCCACGCTGTCTTCCCAGAGCACCGCCCGGCCCCCGGCTTCTCACCTGGGATCCTGAGGCTTCTGGCTCCCTCGCCCATAAAGCGGGACGACCTTCTCTCTGCTGATCCCAGCTTTACACACTGGGCATTCTTGCCGCTCTGGCCGCGTCTCCAGCCACTGGGGAGAAAAAGAACGAAATGGTTTCAGTATACAGGAGGGTCTTCCAGCTTCTCAGACCTCCCCACGTCCCTCTTCAACTCCTCTGAGTACTCACCTGATGAAGACAGGGCCAACTGGACGGAGGGGGGAAAAGTCACACTGGTTACAGAAACAAAAAGACCCCAGACCGCACAGAGCCCCGTCGCATCCCCCTTCCCACATAGTACCTGTTTCCTTTTCATACTTTGGGCAACCTCTACTCTGCCGGCCAACCTCTCTCATGCCAGCCTTCCTGCTTATCTGATCTTCCATGCCTAAAGCTCCAGCTGTCCACGGGCTCAATCTACTCTTCCCCCTCACACACATTCTCATCCCCCGCCTCCTCTGCCTTACCACTTAACTTCCGATTCTCTTGTACCGACCCCTTTCTAGGTCTCCTCTCAGCCCCATTCATTCTTGTCCCCACCATGACTCCAAAGCAAACCTCCTTTAACAGCACGTGACCCCATTATTCCTTTCCCTCTCGCTTCCAGACTCAATAAAGTCCCTATTTCCAGACCCTTTAACTTTGCCCCTCCGCACTGCCCTTGTCCCACTGCCTAACCTTTAAGCCTCATCTGTTTCCCCTTGAAAAACTAAGACCCTTCCCTTCCCTGGGTTAAGGCTGGTCGGGTCTCACCTGTTCCAAAGTGCGGCGTTGCCTACTCCCAGCCCCACCTCCTCCTCTTAGACACCACACGCCCCAGCTCCCAGTCCTAACATCTTCCACAGATCTCGGCTGTACAGATAAGATCCTTCCACCCACACACATGCCAGGAAAGACCCTGTCCCCTCCTGGGGCCTCGTCCCAGGGGATGTGCCCTCCGATTATCGGGATGACTGGACGGTCCCCCGCTTTCAGCCTCCGCGGCCCCACCGCCTTCCGCCCCCACCCCAATTCTCTCACCAGTACAGGTGGCCACACACACTGACCACAGCCTCCCGAGCACTCTCCAAACATATATTACATTCGAAGGTCGCGCCCGCCCCGCCCCGCTCGCGGTTTGGCCCTTCGGGGCCCCCGTCCTCCTCCTCCGCAGCTGCCATGGTCGGTCCTATTTCGCCCCCGCGTACTCCCTCAGTCTCCCTAAACACACACACATACACACGCCCCAACAAACGAGAAACCGCCTCCTACCCAAGATGGTTGGGCAGGGCTCAAGGTTTTCAAATCTCTATTGGTGTGCGTGCCTGCCAATCATAGAGGAGTCAAAAGAAAGGATTGGCCCAAAGGGTGTAGGCGGAAAAAAGTTTACGCGATCCTACCCTCTCACAGTGACTATTGGCTGATACAGTCGCCGTCAGTACGCAATGCCCAGTGATTGGTGACAGCTCGCTACAGCCGGGCCCGTCGTCCAGCCAGGGCGAACTTCATTCGCTTGAGCAGCTGCCAGTCATCAAAAGCCAGAAGCAATTGGTTCGGGACTACGTAGCTCTCGCCCACTATCAACCCCCCTTGTTTCTTTCACTTCCTCTTTCAGAGAATATGCGGATTCCTATTGGACTTTGGAGCGTACCGCTCCAAAGTAAGTGATTGGTTAGAGCAAAACAGAAAATGGTGGTTATGTAAAATACGCCTGCGCAGCACGCGTGGGACACGGTGAGCCAATCCTGTGGTGGTTGAGCCTCCTCTGGTCCCACCCCTTCACCTCTATCTTGTCGCCATGGTAACTGCTCTACAATTGGTGGGACTTAGAGTTCAAAGGCCTCGATTTGGCTTCATCCGGGTCCTTCGACTGTGGACTCTCTGGGCTGATTGGGTAGTTTCTTTCTCCCCTGATTGGCCAAGATCCGGAAAGACGGCGAAGCGCTCGGAAAAGAGGGCAAATCCTACGGTCCCAGGGTTCAAAATGGCTCCGGCCTCCCCGGATGACAGAAAGAGCAGAGCTGGGGCCCGCCCCTCTCTCCTGGTGAAGGGAGCAGTACTGGCATTAGCCCGACGTTTGGATGGTGCGGGCATCCATCTGCGGCGCGGGTGTTAACCCAGCTCCCTCGACTTAGCTCGCCCCTCCTTAGGTGATTTACAAAGCAGAACTGAGCTAAGGTCCGTCCCCTTCTTTATGCGACACACAGATCTCGACTCTCTTTTCAGCTTTCAAAGCAAAAAAGGATCTGCCTTTTCCGGGTGACCCGCCGCGGAATGGGTTTAGACCTGTCCTTTCTTTCCTGTTATCTGCCCAGCAGAACTGGGGTCGTCTTGGGCTGGACCCCTGGGAGTTTGGACCCTTCCTCCAGTCTGCGACCCTCCCTGTGGCTCCAAGAGCAGAGAGCTAAGTTAACAGTTCTCCCACTGCTAGTGTTCTTTACGTCCTTTCCCCAGGGCATGTGAACTCGTGCAGAATGCAGGTGTGTCAGGAGGCGTGAGGCCGACACACCTGGCTGTTCGGCAACACCCTGATAAAAGGGCTGGTGACTCAGGAGCAACGATAAGAGTTGCATAGCGGTTTAGGAAACAAGGCATGGAGAGGAAGGGCGGAGGCTAAGGAGGGAGGAGTGATGGAATGGTCCTGGTAAATGGCTAATGGAGTATGAGGGGCTGGGGAGCTAGATTCAGGCTGGAAATTACGCATACATATTCCGGAGGAACCGGCCTTGATTCCCCACTCCCCCCCACACACACCCCAGGAAGTCACCCTAACACCCAATTTCAATTGGAAGGAAAAAAGCACCAAATTCTGTGTTGGGGGATGGCGGTGGGGCGTGGGGGCGCGGTCTGAGCTTGGGTAGGACTGATAGGAACCAGGAAAAGTACCGAGGTAAAAGGGCAGAGCAGGGAAAGGGCCCGGAGAGGACCAGCGCGTATCCCTTTTCCGCAAAGGCCAGCAGAGTGGGTGGAGGAGGGCGCCGGACTGCTGGGAGATGGGGAGTGCGGGACGGCTGAGAGGCACAGTGACCAGACCGGGCTGGAGGGTAAGGTGAGGAGAGGTGGGGTCGGCGTCCCGGGGACGGAAGAGCTGCGCTCCGCATACGGCAGG